TGCAGTTCTCCCGGAGCTTTTACCAGAAAATTTAACAATTGATTCGAAAGTGTACTGCATTCGAGTAAACAAATTGCGTAATATCATCAAACAGAAAAAGCCGGCCAGAATTAAAAAAAAAAAAAAAAAAAAAAAAAACAGGTTTGACACATCAGCAGACATTCGTTGTCAGTTAATAAGGTGGGAACAAAATTTTGAAAAAAATTGCCGAAGATTTATTGCAACAAATATTTCATTAAATTGTTAGAAATTATTGTAGAATAATTTAAATTTTGTTTATCATTAATTATAATTATTTATTTTTAGGAAATGTAATTTATGCACGTATTGAAATGACTTGTGATATTATATAATATACTTATCAAATAATAATAAATAAATGTATGTACCTGTTTAAATTTATTATTTACGTAAAATAAGTAATCCACTTTTAGTTATAGTTAGAGCTTTTTATGGCTCTCAGTTATAAGAGCAGTATACATCTAACGCAGTAATTATAAAATTTACGTACAAAAATGTAAGGGGTACTCGAGAAACAACTAATGGGCTAATGGGGTACATCAACAAAAAAGGTTGAGAATCACTGCCCTATATAAAGATTATAGTTATTTTTACATCATATGTAAAACTTCTGAAGAAATTTATTGTTGAGTATCATTTTCGTTCTCAAACCTTCTGCAAATTATAGTATCTACTTGCAAAGTTAGTATAGTCGACCCACCCCATAACACTGTTGATTATTCCGTTTTATATGAATTTCATGTTGTATGAGTCACTTAGATTTTATTAATATGTGAGCCGTTTACAGCCTGGCACGCATATTTGTAAAATCTAAGTGACTTGTACACACACAAAATGGAATAATCAACAGTGTTATAGGGGAGTCGACTATATGTAGACTAATAATTATGTTCACTTTGCCATTAAATATTCTTTTGGTAATAAAAACTAATTTCTTTCTGTATTATTTATTTTTCTTCTTTATCTTTCTTGTTTCATTTGGTAATGACAACTTTTTAATAACATTTTGATCTTATAAACAACTAATGGACAGTTAAAACAAATGGAAAAAGTAAAGCTCTGTCTGTTTATCAAGTAAATACTCATATTAATCATAAAAATTTGAGCAAATTCATTTAATTGAAACATATATAGCTACTGCTTGATGTATATCCTTAGAATATAAAACATGCTAGTTGCATGGAAAGGAGAATCATTTGGATGTATGGTGTGTAAAATTACACTGTTATGCTTCAGCCATGCAGATGTAAAATAGCAGTAAGAATGTAGCAATATTACTCTTGCAAAGTAAAACTGTGCACGAGTGAGAAATAGAATTTCTTTGGGCCATACAATTATAATTGGCAATTATTTGACTTTATTATGTAATTATCAAGTTCGGATGTTTGCAGAAAAGTCCTGTTCTTGCAGATATCTTGCACAGTTTAGTTTTTATCAGTGTGACATTCTTGCTTTTTACTGCACTTGCACATTACCCCACTTCTGGCACGTGTAAAATTTAAAACACTACTACTTTGGTATATACAAGCAATGAGAAATATAATTTAAATTATGTTGAAGAAAAATTAATTAATTCATTTACGGCTTATCCTAAAATATGGAATAAGCAATTAACAAACAACTAAAATAGAAATTCTAAACTTTGTCAATCCATTTTCTTTCTACATTTTCAAACGAAAGGGAAACATTTACAATTCCCACACATGGTGGCGTGAGCAAGAAATGTAATTTGGCAGCATTTGCTCGCTTATAAATCTTTCTTTCCAGAAAATTTGCTAGTTTGCATCTCAAAGG